CAGTGTATGTTGTTTTTTTTTTTTTTTTTGAGAGCTTTTTGCTATAGGGCGTGTGCACTTGCCAGATAGACACAGAGAGAGACAGAGAGACAGAAAGCGAGAAATCACCCCCCAGAGGGGATGTTCATGCCGCAATCCCTTCTCCATTCTCCTCTCAGGATCTTGGGCATGCACGTAACATGCGCCCGGCGTAAGTTTCAAGCCACCGGGTCTGGGACACGAACCGCAGTCGACTACATGGGAGTCCAACGACATAGCCATTATGCTAACTGCTGGTCCCCCCAGTGTGTTTTTTAAACTGCTGAGTCTGGGACTTGAATCATGCAGTTGGCCGCATGGCAGCCTTTACCACCACATCACCTGCTGGCCCAAGCCTATTGTTAAGAGGAAGAAGAGAGCTTAGATGTTACTCAAAAGGCTTTTTTCCCCCTCCCTGTTTCTTGACTGAATGGCCTAGGGCAATCTTAAACTATATTAGAGTCACAGTTTTTTATCTCTATCTCTAAAGGAGGATTAAAAATAATTCCTTATCTGTTGACACAGACCAAATGAGATTATCTTTGAGGTGTGGTCTAACAATAGGGAAACTTTAGCTAGGCTCTACCATGGCCTGTGACACAGTGACTCGTGACCTGTTATGATCAGGTGAGGTTTGGGACCTAGACATGTGGTGATTTCTCCAAAAATGACTTACCGAAAACGCTCTTCACTCCCTGTTCTTTCACAAGATAATCCACATACTGACCAATGACGGAAAAGTTGATTTCTCTAAAAAAACATGGGAAAAGTTGGAAAGAATGCGTATTTAGTCTTTTTCAAGTTACTATTCAACCAATCCCTAGGTCTATGAGCTGTGCTCTCTCGTTAATAGTTACCACAAACCCATCCAGTCAGTCTGTGACATCCTTTGCATGCCTCGGAAAAGCACGTTTTGCCTCCTCTCCAGGCCTAAGTCATTTATATTCTACTTAAAAATAAACCACACTGAGGCCGGCAAGTGGCGTGGTAGTCAAGGGCGCTGGATTCCCACATAGCCGACTACAGTTCAAGTCCCGAACGTGGAACCTTACTTTTTCCCTTTCTCTCTCTGGTCAAATTAAAAAATAACAACAAATGGAATTAAATAAATAATTATTAAAAAGACACATTAATTATTATTTTTGCAGAGTTAATTATTTCTGTTGACATTCAGTATATCTGAGAATAATGCCTGAGTTATTTTTGTTTGTTTTTCTAAATCTGGTGATTTTCCAACTGTGCATCACTTACATGAGGAAAATACAATGAGCTTTTTTTAAATAATTATTTTTAAAATTTTATTTATTCATTCGTTTATTTTAAATTGAACAAAGAGAGATGGGGGGGAGAGAGAGAGAGAGAAGGAAAATAAGAAAGCAAGCCACCAGGTCCAGGACTTGTAACATGGTCGGACATGTGGGAGTGTCCAGTGCCTTAACCACTATGCCACCTGATGACCCCCAAAAATACAATTAGTTTTAAACAATGGCTTTACATTTAAAACTCACCACAGGTTAATATTTTTTTTGGAGAGGCTTTTGCTATAGGGCGCCTGCGCTTGCCAGAAAGACAGAAAGCGAGAAATCACCCCCCCGGGGGGAGATGGCCACACATGCACACGTGCCTGGTATGAGTTTAAGCCACTGGATCCGGGACTCGAATCATGGTCAACTACATGGGAGTCCAGCGATATAACCATTACGCCAACTGCTGGTCCCCACAGGTTAATACTTAAAATGCAATTGTGGCCCAGCTGAGGTTAGCAGTGTTAACTGCTCAGACAGTGGGATCACGAGCTGGCCTAAAAGCTGGGTGGGAGATGATGCGAGCCTGTAACTCCAGCGACCCAGGAGGCTGAGGCAGGAGGATCATGAGGTTGTAGTTGGCCTAGGTAGCACAGCCAGACTGTCTAAAAGAGAGCTGGGTATGTGGTGTGTGCCTGCAGGCCCAGATGGGAGGCTGAAGCAGAAGCAGAAGGAGGCACATAATGTTTTTTTCTTAAAAAAAAAAAAAAAAAAAAAGTGGCGGGGGAGATCAGCAGATGGTGTAACGGTTGTAATTTTAGACTCTCACATAGTCGATAGTGGTTCAAGTCCTAGACCCAGTGGTTTAAAATTTATGCTGGGTGTGCCTGTGTGCCCAAGATCCTGAGAAGAGAAGGGATTGCAGCCTGACCATTGCCCCGGGGGGGTGATTTCTCAATTTCTCTCTCTCTCTCTGTCTTGGGCAAGTGCATGCGCTCTATAGCAAAAAGTCCCTTCAAAAAAAAAAAAAAAAAAAAAAAAAAAAAAAGGAGGGAGTTATCTAATCATCTTCTGCCCCTTTTAGGGAAGACTACTGATTGTGGTAGGGTTAAATGAGAACTTAACCTTTTCCAAGAAACAATAATTTCTTAGGTTTACAAAATAGGAACATTACATCATAATAATTTAAGAATTTTGCAGTTGATATTTGTGATTACAGATGAAGTTTTCAACCCTGTATTTAGAAGTTGATATTTTCTTTTTTTTGCCATAGGGTGTGCATACTCTCTGGAGAGAGTAAGAGAGAGGGAAAGTGAGAAACCACCCCCTGGAGGGAATGGCCACTCATAATCCCATCTCCTCCAGTCTTTTTTGGGATTTTGACTACAAGCACACAGGTACCCAGTGTGATTTTCTTTTTCTTTTTCTTTTCTTTCTGGAGAGGTTTTTGCTTTAGGGCGTGTGTGCTAGCCAGAAAGAGACAGAGAGACAGAAAGGCCACAATCCCTTCTCATCCATTCTCCTCTCGGGATCTTGGGCACGCACGCACATGCACCCAGCATGAGTTTAAGCCACCGAGTCCGGGATGCAAACCGTGGTCAACTACATGGAGCTCAGCGACACAGCCATTATGCCAACTGCTGGTCCTCCCAGTGCGATTTTCAGTTCACTGGGTTTGGCACTCAAACCATGGTCAGCCATGTGGGAGTCCAGCACCTTAAGCACTATGCCACATGCTGGCCCTGTGTTTGCAAGTTTTAAATGGAAGAGGATTAATCTTTGGAAAGGAACTTTGTCATCTCTTTGCCTTTCAATGTAAGGTCTACAAAACAGCAGCATCTGCAGCTAAAGGGAGTTGCTTAGAAATGCAAATTCCAGGCCCCCTTGGTCCTGTCCAGCTAGACTCTGTGCTCATGTGACTTGCATGTACTCTGCAGTCAGAGGCATACTAACTTTTTTTTTTTTGGAGAGGTTTTTCACTACAGGGTGCGTGCGCTTGCCAGACAGACAGAGAGACAGAGAGCCAGAAAGCGAGAAATCACCCCCTCAGGGGGGATGGCCACATCGCAATCCCTTCTCCATGCTCCTCTCGGGATCTTGGGCACGCATACACATGCACCTGGCGTGAGTTTGAGTTTTAAGCCACCGGGTCCGGGACTTGAACTGCAGTCGACTACGTGGGAGTCCAGTGACATAGCCATTACGCCAACTGCTGGTGCCAGGCATGCTAACTTCTAAGCATCTGATGATTTAGGTGATAAGGGATCTTCTCCTTAAAATCATATATATATTTTAAATAATTATTTTATTTAACTTAATTTATTTATTTATTTTAATTTGATCATAGAGGGACAGAGTGAAGAGAGAGAGAGAGAGAGAAGTAGAAATGAAGTCACCAGGTCTGGGTCTGGAACCATAGTCGGCCACGTGGGAGTCCACTGCCCTTAACCACCATGCCATACCAGTTGGCCCCCAAGTCATACTGATTTTAAAATCGAGGGCAATGCTCTGTGAGGCTGATTCCACATGGTAAGGATCCAGATTCATGTCTGGAGACCTTCCTAAACATGCCAGGCATGTGTATGCTCATGATCTGGGGCTGGGTGGGGCCAGGCTGGGGTGGATCACGGCACAGAATCCCTGCTGGAGGTGCCTTGCCTCTCTGCTTATGGAAGAAAGAAATAGACTTAAAAAAAAAATCTAGAGGACCAGCAAGTGACGTGGTGCTTAAGGTGTTGGACTCTCCCACATGGCTAAGTATGGTTTGAGTCCTGGACGTGGTGCCTTGTTTTCTCCCTTTCCTTCTCTCTGTGTGTGTCTCTCTCTGGTCACATTAAAATAAATGAACAAATAAATAAAATCAAATAATTCTAAAAAAAATCTAGAAATGGACTCACAAATAAATTGTATTAAGTGACCTGTCCTTAATCAAATGCAGATGGTGAGGGTGGGAGTGAAAACACAAAGGAAAAGCGTGGGGCCCGTCTGGGTTAAATGTCCGACACCCACGGCCAGGATGCCAGAACACAAAGTACTAGCACTGCCGGCTGCACGTTTGGGGGAGGGGAGGTTTAGAGAACCCTAACTTAATTTTAGCCTTGTTAATATTTTTTCATCTTTACCTTTTATATTCCTTAAGGAACAAAAAATAGTGCCAAAATGATTAATATATCCAGACAAAAGACATTGAACGGTGTTTTTGTCAGAGTACGAACGATGAGCTAGGAAATGGCTGACTCTGAGATGGAAGAAAGACACTGAGAGCAGAGAAAGCGCGGGCGGTGGCGGCTCACAGCTTAGAGCGCCGCCAGCTGCCGAGCAGAGCCTGAGCCGGCGCCCGCCAGGGGAGGAATGGCGGGCTACGACGCAGTCACGAGGAAAGGGAACGCCCTTGTTGCCGCTGGAGCGCCAGAGTTCAGCCCTGCCCCCTTCCAGCCAAGCGTGTGTCCTGTGTCCGGGGAGGGCGCTCATCGCAGGCTGTCTGGGTAAAGGAGTGGCCGCAGGAACTAAGAATGACCATGAAATCACCGTGAGTGCACCCTTACAAGCAGAGCAGCACCACACATGCACAATATTTTGAAATTTCACTTTTGTGCAAGGAGCAAAGAAGCTAGGGCTTTTTTTGGGGGGTGGTTTTTTGCTATAGGGCGCGTGTGCTCACCTGAAAGAGACAGAGAGGCACAGAGACAGAAAATGAGAAATCATTCCCCCCCACCCCCCCATGGTCACACTGCAATCGCTTCTCCTCCATTCTCCTCTTGGCATTGGGCGTGAGTTGAAGCCACTGGGGTCGGGGCTCGAACCGAGGTCCACTACACTACAGGAGAGTCCAGCAACATAGCTATTATGTCAACTGCTGGTCCCGAAGCTAGTGTATTTAATAAACAAAAACGGAGAAAAGTATGGTGAAGGCTTGACTGAATCAAGCTATAAGAGTTGAGGATTTCAGAAGGAGGGCTGATAAACTCCAACCAGGGAGAGAAGCCATTGAGAAGCAGGGGTAGGATGGATTGTTCCTTCCCTCCAACATTCTTTTAAAGTAATTAATTTATTATTATTATTATTTTGGAGAGGATTTTACTATAGGGCACGTGCGCTCGCCAGGAAGATAGAGAGAGACAGAGAGACAGAAAGTGAGAAACCACCCCCCCAGGGGGGATGGTCACACCGCAATCCCTTCTCCTCTCGGGATCTTGGGCACGCACGCACACGTGCCCGGCATGAGTTTAAGCCACTGGGTCCGGGACTCAAACCATGGTTGACTACATGGGAGTTCAGCAGCATAGTCATTACGCCATCTGCTGGTCCCCATAATTAATTTTTTTTTAATTTGCCAGAGAGCACCTGCACTCATCAGAGATAGAGACAGAGACAGATAGAGAGGGAAAGAGCACCCCCTAAGGAAGTGTGGTCACACTGCAGTTCCTTTTCCTCCATCTTGTTGGAATTTGGGGCATACATGAACACACTCCCGTTCATTTTTCAAGCTATTGTGTCTGGACCTTG